TATGGAAAATGAATTTGCTCTGAAAACTTTCACCCAAATCACCATAAAAATTAAAAAAGAAGAGACTAGGGCTTCAAACTGGTTTAGTCCTGGCCAAGGAAGCAAAACCAGAGCAGACATGAATTTTAAAATGTGGATAAGCCAGAATGATAATGAGTGGGAAAAATTAGTCGAAGCCCTGGCATGGGAGACCTGGAAGAGGCATGGTGAGTCCTTTCAGGAGCCTGATGCATGAAGCTGGATTACCACCACAACTGAGTAGAGTGACACTCTTAGCAGCGCTGCTGACCACCATCTTTGAGCCTGACACTGCCCTTTCAAACTCTGCTCAAAATCCAATGGGTAAGAGATTTGGTTGCTATGCAATGCATATATTGCCTTTGGTTCCTTAGAGGGAGATCAAGTTTCAAGCAGGGTTCTGATCTGTCATTTTTCCCATTTTGGTTATGGTTCTGATTTACTCAAATTTTAATTATTTGGGTCTGTTCTGGTTTTGCTTCCTTGGCCAGGAATGAAGTAGGCGGAAGCAAGTTAGCCCTGAAAAGGGACAATGTTGAAGTCAATTCTTGGCCACAGCCAAGGTCTGAGATGCAGACCTTCTGATGAAAAGCAGGTTGCCAAGTACATACAAATTCAACACTGCAAAGAATCGCCTTGACTCCTCATGTGAGTCAAAAACCAAGGGTAACAGTCATTTCTGGTCATTGTGGCACTCGGACTATATTCTCTGAATACAACTGGGTAAGAATGGTGTGGGATGCCAGTCCCCTCTCTGAAGCTCTGAGCTAAATTCTCCCAGCAGAGACACTGTCTTGACTAGGTGCTGAGCGGCCATGTCTGACATACCTGAAAAAGTCACCTGGGCCAAGCAGGGAAGGAGTCAGCTTAGTTCCAGTGACTCCTGCTTGTGGCTACAGGTGACTTAGGAACATATATTTCATAAAATGATACAGTAAGCTATTTAAAATAGAAAGTGGATCTACCACCTGGATATCACGGCCAACTCACAGCAACCAGTGTTAAGTCCCAAACATCCACTCTGCAACCTAACATTCCAGAAAGAGCACACATGGTCTCTCCTAACTGATGGATCAGTTTTCAGGGATCAGCCAAGCAGCCCAGGTTCTCACCTTGATGTCGGCACCAGAGAGGTCGTCTTTAGCCATGATCAAGTCATCCAAGGTGACATCATCGGCCAACGTCATCCTGCTCGTGTGAATCTGAAAGATACGCTTCTTCGTCTTCTCATCGGGCAGGGGGAATTCTATCTTCCTGTCAATGCGGCCTGCAGCAAGAAAGGTTCTGTCACACCTGTGCAGACCCATGTCTGCCTTGGCTCAGACGCACACCGCCTTCACCCTCAACACCACTGGCTTCAGTCAGACAGTGGCCTGCTGGCATGAGGTCACCATTTTTAAAAGTAAATATCTGTCGTTTATGTATTTCTACATTTAAAGCCATCTCTGCTTTGGTTCCCTAGTGCTGCTCTAATAGAAAATATACCACAAATGGGATGGCTTTAACAAATAGGAGTTTATTCTCTTACAATGTGGAGGCTTTAAGTCCAAGTTCAAAGTGCCAGGCTCGAGGGGCTGGGTCAAAGCCCCTCAACCTTGGGTTTCAGCTCTGCCTCCTGCTCCCGGCCCACTGAAGCTGGAGGCTTTTCCTCACCCAGCTGCTTCCTGCTGAGGCTGACAAATTCAAGGTTAACAAGTAAAAAGGCACAGTCCTGATGTTACCAAACAGCATGGCAGGCCATTAATTCAAGTCCAGAAGAAGTTCCAAAACTGGTAAGGCATGGCAGGCTGCTGAACCATAACTTGGCTACATGCAGAGTTCAAGTGTGCCAAAAAGCTGGAGACAGTCCTCAAAGTTGCTTCTTATATACTGGAAGCAGCCCACATCCCTAAAGCAGCTACTCAGCTGCTCCAGTAGATTCCACCATGGAGTTAATAACCAATCTCACCATGGGGAGTAACTACATTCAGCTGCCCAGCCACTCAACCAGGCCCAGCCAAACTGACTCACAATCTTAACTATCACAATCCCGTTGCAAGGAAATCCTCTCAACTTCGATGCCTCCAGAAATAAGTGAAAGGAATAGTTCCTCAGTGGTATATTTTCGTGGAAAAGGGCACATCAATCTTGTTAAAAATATTACAAAAGACAGGAAACAAATGCCATCTCATCCTGAGTATAAAGAATAAACTTAAGCTGTCATAAGATTTACTCTTCAGAAGAAAGGCACAAAGCCATGAGACTAAAAAGAGAATATTTGTTATGGGAAATTAAAAATGAAGATACAAGACTGGAATTTAAAGGCCCAAACTGCAGACTCTATCATTCTCTTATTTAACTATCATCTTGATCAAGAAGCCCTGCTTTTGGTAAATTACTCAAGTTTCAGTACAGTGTTGCCTTGAGTTACGATCCTCCCTAAAGCACTTAAAACATACACAAACACAATAAACTCCCCACGATGAAACCAAAGCACATTTCACCTGGTCTAATAAGTGCTGGGTCTAAGGTTTCTATGCGGTTTGTGGCCATGATAACTTTCACATCTCCCCTTGAATCGAATCCATCCAGCTGGTTCAACAGCTCTAACATCGTTCGCTGGATTTCTCTTTCGCCACCAGAATTTGAGTCGTATCTTGGAAAAACAGAAGGAAAGGCATGAAGAAGACCCAACTGACTCAGGAAATACCTCATCGTGGCAAATACTGCACCATGCTCATCTCCACCCAAATGCTCAATCACCCTCAATCACTGCCACCAAAAAGCAGCACCCCCTCCACTTGCCAAGTCACATGCTACATTACTTTATTCTCATTTATCTTGTTTCAGGTGTGGTCTGACTCCTCCAGCTGGTCCATGAGCTTCATGAGGGGGAGGGTTCACTGTCGTGTGCCCAGAGTCCAGAACAGTGCCAAGCTCAGAGTAGGAGCTCAAGGCATGGTTATTAACCTACTGACCAGTCTCCAAAAACTAACAACTCTGGGCAAATCATTCCCTGGTGCCAGGAGAAGAGGAAAAAGCACCCACGGAGAGCCACACAGAGTGATAACTGTGGCAGTCTACCATGCAAGGCAGACAGGGCATGCCCAACAACGGTTCCTTCTTAGAGAAGACCTACGTAGCTGTAAGCCTCACACAGTGCAAAGCAGGCAAGAGAATGTCTACCTTTTTGTCCCTATGGCGTCGATCTCATCTATGAACACGATGGACGGCGCGTGCTCCTCAGCAACACGGAACAATTCCCGCACAAGCTTGGGCCCGTCTCCCAGGTACTTCTGAATCAGCTCAGAGCCAACCACTCTCAAGAAAGTGGCCGAGGTTTGGTTGGCTACTGCTTTGGCTAATAATGTTTTACCTGTTTCAGATTAAAAAAAAAAAAGGAAGGAAGGAAAGAAAAGAAACCTCAAATGGTGTTTTAACTTAAAAACGCCATCATTTACACTGTAATGGACACCAGTAACAGGTGGGCAGCATGATGGAACAGTGTGCCATCATCCAGGTACCTGGCACTCTGTTCTCTAGAGCAGATCAAATGAAATTCAGTATCAACTCTTAGTTATTTTGAAACATTTTTCCTAAATCCACCATGATAATGTCAGGAATTATTTTTTACTCAATTATTTTCAAACCAACCCAAGGTTTCACTGAAGAATTGGAAACTGTAATTGCCAGCAAGCAGAACTGCTCTGTACCAGGAAAGAAAGCAGCCCTGCTTTTTCCTTTCTCAGGCCCTGGAAGCAGCATATAACCATGAACCGCCCTATTTTTCCTTCTAGCTCATCCAGCACACGGTTAGAGAACCAAAACTAAACTATGAAACCATCAACGATGAAAAACATAGGTCTGAGAATGCCAGGTTTACCTGAAGGAGACATTCAAAGTGTCCTGATAGCAGGCCTACTATGCCCCTAGGCCATGGCAGAGCACCTCTGGGCAGGCTGGAGGCTCAGTAACCCAGAGGGCTGGCTCTTGCTGAAGCCCCCAGCTGAGAGCTGCTGAAAGCCCGAGAGACTCCTCAATCTGTGGCAAGCCCTCACGAGGTGGTCCTCTCACTGATCTTGGGAAAGAGCTCAAACAACTTTCCTAATACTGCTTCTATTACAGACCTGCAATTTTTTTCCCCGGCAAAAACCGAATGTCAGCATAAAGCACCCAACTGGAGAAATTTTAGAGCTAGAAGACCTTGGCCCTTCTGACAGTGATTAAGAACATGAGCCACAGGGCTGGCTGGTCACCTCAGGACAGAGAGGCAGTCAGGGCAGAGCCAGAGGTTGGCTGCTGCATGGCATAGACCACTTCCTGGAAGTGGGATGGAGGATAGGGAGCTAAGCTTTGAACCAAGATACGGTGATGTTCCTGTTGGTTGGAGAGGCAGAGTGTCAGGTGCATAGCCTTAGAAGGCAAGCAAGGATGACAGACAGAACACAAAGAGAACCTCTGACACAGACAGGACCTCACAGCCCAGAAGCAGCCAAGTCCAGCTGCTGAGCTGTTCAATGGCCCACCGGTTCACTGACTGAGTCTTCTCCTTTGTCCTGACAGGCCTGCCTGCCAGCTCCAGCCCTGCTACCAGCTCAACTCCCAGAGCTACTGGGGGCTGAGGCCAGCCAATGGTCTCTCTGAAGCTTTATTTCCTGATCTGTAAGATGTGGGCCTGCAGAAAGTATGATTTCATCCAGTTCCATTGCTTCTGGGTATGGTTCCCTTCCAGTCCCTCAAATCTGGGCAATTTCATAAGTACAGATCCTCTCAAGTGCAATCAAATGATGGCTCTTCCTTTTGAATTCACAGACCAACAAACTGCAAAGTCCTGGACTGGATAACTCACTCAGGTCAACTTACTGTATGACGAGCCAAATTTTGTTTTTAACTTTCATTGATTAATGCAACATATTCATTCAGTACCAGTGGGCCAGGCAAGTTAACATAATGCGAACACCACAGAATAGCTTTGAAGTCAGTGGTGCTCCCCCAAGGCTCTTGATGCTCAGGCCACGCCCTCAACCATTATATCAGAAGCTTTAGGGAGAGGTCTGGGCGTCAGTATTTTTTAAAGTTCTCAAGGTGAGCCCAACATACAGCCAAAAATAAGCATCCCTATTTTACTGTGAGGAAGTGAGATAGCCTCACTTAACACAAGTCTAACTAGCCAATGCTGCTGCTCCAGAGAAGAGCTAAGTGTTGGGAAGGATCAGAGACAGAGCATACCTGTGCCAGGTGGCCCGTAGAGAATGACCCCCTTAGGGGGCTTTATACCCATCTCTTCATAATACTCAGGATGCGTGAGAGGAAGCTCCACGGATTCCTACAGAAAACAAACATTCAGTAAACAGAAAGGTCGTCTTACTGAAACGATCAACAGATCCGTCAACCAGCATCATGAGTCCATCTCACTTGCAACACAAATAAGCTGAAATAGCCTCCACTACTCCTCCCAGCTCTGGTGGTGCAATGTCTAAAGCATTTGACTGCTAACCGGAAGGCTGGCGGTTCAAACCCACCAGCCACTCCTCGGAAGGAAGGTTGGGCATTCCTACTTCCGTAGTGATACTGCCTCGGAAACCCAAGGAGGGGTCGCTATGAGTCGGGTTTGATTCCACGGCACATAACAACAGCAACAACTCCTCCCAGAGACAAGGTGCCTGCTGAAGAGCACACCTGGCCCAGCGGGGCTCCTGGCCTCCATCCCCCTTCTTAACAGCACCTGCATTTCCCTTTCATTTTCCAATAGATGTCAGTCTTGGGCAACACTGAAGCCTGCAGAGCACATAGGCCCCTTGCTTAGGAAAGGGCCGCAAGGAAGCTAACATCTACTCCTCTTATGAAAGTTACAGACAGGACCTGAAAGACTTTCCGATTCCTGCTCCCACCTGGGGATTTTATGGCCAGTAGAGATGCAGGTGGGGGCGGGTGACTTCCCATGTGTGAGAGAACCTGCAGAGAGCCGGCACCATGCCATCCCAAATGACTACCTCCCTCCCCACCCAGGACCACTGAAGAGCTGGGATTAGGTTCCTGACCGGAACTTGTGTAAGTGTGTGTGGGTACACGTGGTGTGTACCAGTCACCTTATCCCAATACAACCTTGGAGGTTTCCAGATCTCAACAGTGGAAGTCAACACAACTGGAGAATATATCCACCCGGATGATGCACTACATGTTACGTTACGTATGCAAAGCATTAAGCTATAGCTGCTGCAGAAATGGCCACAATTAGGTAAAATTTCTAGTACCTAACTGACCATTAATAAAAGCCAAAAAAGCAAAACTGGCAAGCTGTGAGTCACTTCCTGGTCTGATCAATAAAGGGGAAAAAACCCCCAAAACCATGCATATTGCTCCAAAGCCCCATTAGATTAGCAGTTAAGAAATCAAAAGACCAGAAACTGGGAGCTGGTTCCCAGTCATACCTTAATCTCCTGAATCTGGTTGTCCAATCCCCCAATGTCAGCATAAGTCTCCTGGGGGGCCTTTTCCACCTTCATCACCGTGACCAGGGGATCGGTGTCATCCATCAGCACCCCTATCACCGCATGCACCTAACAGGGAACACCAAGCTTTAACACAGGGGTGAGGGTCCTAGGATCCTTTGTAACAAAGCAATGCCAGGCAGCAGCTCCACCACCAGGAATGCTTTGGCAATCTACTTCCAGAGGCAGTGGGCAGATCTCCCAGGAAAGAGAAGGCCCTTCATGGGGCGGCCTTACAGACCACCGACTGGCTCACCTTGTGGTTGAGCAGCACAGAGCAGCCTGGCTCCAGGAGATCCTTGTCGACAAATGAAAGAATGCTGACGTAGTGTTCTGAGCCCACTGATGTAGACACGATGGCATGATTGTCATCAATGATCTCTTCCAAAGTTCCTACCGACATAGGGGTCCCCCTCAGGTCATCCACCTTTGACCTCTCCTCCTAGACGAGAAGAAGGTGCCAAGGAGAAGCAGATTAGATGGGAAAGGGAGGTGACCCTGGCTGACTAGATTTCCAAAGCAGTCAGTGCTTTGAAAAGGGAACCATATGGTTCATAAAAGCCTGCACAGGTTCACTGCTGGAACCTCACTTGTTTGTTGATGGCTGTCGGATCTACATAGAATTCTTCAATTTGTGGAAAAGGTAGTTGTAGTGACTTCTCAACTTACCTCCTGCTTTTCTTCTAGAGGCTTCATTTGCTCCTGATTTCGAATGAATTCCTCCTCCATGAGAAGGTAGTCTTTAATTCTCTCCAGCTTCAATAGCTTTAACCGGCACTGAGTGTGAGGTGTCACTAAAACATGAAGTTTCAATATACTTGGAGCTTCAAGTCTGCAATTAATTCAGTCATCCTCAAGACAAAATACTAAGATCTTAAAATAA